TCAGAAAAGTCAGACTTCTCGAAACGGCAACATATGCATTATAAATTATAAATATTTTTATCATTGCAGAGTAACGCTTGACTGTCTGGATAAATTATACATGACAAGATAACAATTATATAAAAGCGCGATAAAGCTCTACATGACATTACATTCCAATATTGTTCACTCTTGTAAACGGAATTCTAATAAAATTTGAACGTATACATATTGGTTTGTAATTTTATTGTATTAATCGTTAACATAGTGAAAAGTTATTAAATTATGTCACTAAAATTTTATTTTGTTTAGACATAATCATGGCTCAAAATAAAAAAGTCAACTTGAGCTCGATGGTGAATCATAAGTTTACTGAAGAAGTGCTGAAAGATATTCTATGCAAGGCCTACGATGGGAAGAAAGTGCAACTGACAGATTGGAAGTTTGGTGATGAATTTACCAAAGGTGACAGCTACTTGTCAACTGTCTACAAAGGTGTATTATATGGTATTACGGATGACGAGGCAAGACAAGAAGTTCAAGTTAATTTTGTTGTAAAGTCCATTCCACAGAATGTTGCTCGCAAGAAAACTTTTAGAAGTTCAGATTTTTTCTCTAATGAGATTATTTTTTATACACAGGCAAGGATATAACAAATTTATTTTACATTTATATATATATATATATATATATATATATATCTTTCTGAAAAAGTTGATATTACTCTTGTATACAAACAGATTAACACATTTTTCAACAATTGTTATTTTGCAGGTGGTCCCTAAGTTTGAGAAGTTCTTGAAAGAAAAAGGACAGAGCAAGCTGTTACGTATACCACGTTATCTAGTCTCCTACATGGATGGTGAGAATGATTTTATAGTGCTAGAAGATCTCTCTCCCTTAGGATTTGGACCTGCATCGAGACAGAGCTGTATAAATTGGGCAGAATGCTTGGTAATATTGGAGGCATTGTCAAAATTTCATGCTATCTCATTTGCATATAAGGATCAAAACAAGGAGGAATTTACTGAAATGACTAAATGTTTGAAAGAGACTTATTTTGGCAAACATAATTGGGACTGGTATCGAAGATTCCATGTATGTAGTACTGTTTTATGTAATAATATGTAATATTTATATAATCACAAAATAATTTAATTATTATTATAAATTAAGTCTTCCTTTCTCTCTCTTTCTCTTCTAGGAGAGACTAATAGAAATATCTCAACATGCATTAACTGCTGAGTATCCTGATAGTAAAGCTCTGAAGCAATTCAATTCCTATAAATTTGGCACACTTTATGACAAGTGTTCAGAGATAGTGTGTGAAAGAAAACATGCTCCTACATCTGTTATATGTGCGGGTGACTGTTGGGCTCCAAACTTTTTAGTTCGAGATATTGGTCAAAATCAGAAGGAAGCATTAGTACTCGACTTTCAACTAGCACGTACCGCCAATCTTTCCACGGACTTATCATTCCTGATTTACTCGTGCACTCACAAGTCATTTCGAGATCAATATTTTGACACTACTTTGAAAACTTATCATTCTTTATTGAGTGATGCTATTAAAACTCTTGGATCTGATCCAGAAAAGATTTATCCATGGGATTTGTTCATGAAAGAAGTAAATTTCATCTATTTTGTAGTGTAAAAGTTTTCCTCTTTTTGTATAAAGTAAAATTACTAATTTTGATATCAATTATAGGTGAAGGAGAATTTTATCTTAGGTGTTGTCTTCGCAACTGAAGCTATTCCATTTGCAATAATGGACCCGTCTGAATCGTTCGACTTGGACGTTCTCGTTAAAGGTGACGAAGCAGTAGATATTGCTGATGTATGGGCCTTGCGCAACATTGCAACATCGAGTGGAAGACGAAGATTAGCGGATATGCTAATTCATGCTGTTGAACATGGATATCTATAACGAAAATTTTCACAAAAATCTTGACTGTTTGTGTAAAATTAGTCTTAATATCAAGCTCGTCAACCATGAAACCGTGATGTATTATAAAGAAAATTGTATTTTTAGTAACATAATTTCTGAGCAACTTGCGCATACTCCGTGACACATGTAAAAATGCGTGCATTTGAAATGTGTGTGTATTTATATATCACTTATTGAGTTGTATCATGACCTTAATGCAATAGAAAAAAAAAGTATATTAAATCTATATCAGAAGTAGGGAACCTCAGTGTCGATTGTTCCCATCTCTCGGTAAGCTAACAGTTAAATCGTGTGTCTGTCTCCGTCCAATTTAAAGAAAAAACGAAGACAGATGATTTAACTATTAGGTAGCTTGCGAAAAGATTGGAACAATCGGTCCTAAATCATACATGACAAGTGGTCTGTTCTTTTCAGCTGCACTGCTGAACTGGTGTAATAAGTTAGTGAGACAAGTATATTTTTTTTCACTCTAAACTTATTGCACCAGTACTGACAGTGATTGTCAAAATATACTTTAACCTTACTGTATCTGCAAGATAATATTGCAAAAATTTCGTATTCATTTTTGCCTAGAACGTGTTCCATTGATTAAATTCAATGATCGTTTCACTTGTCTGCTACTTGTCTTTATGCCAATGGATTTAACGATGGTGATATCATCATTACGTATTATCTATTATGTAAGGTCAATTGAAACGTACGTCAGTGCATTCTAACTCCTTGCGTTATGATGTCATTAATTGTTATTCTGTTATAAAAACATCTACTCCGAAGCCTATAAAAGCGGCAAACGGACCGCACCCAATGACACTTCGGCGAAAGGTTATGGATAAATCAAGTTTAATACGAGTTAAGGCTTCTGTATGACTGTGAAAGTTATCAAGTATGTCTCTCGCCTAAATTCCATTGTCGGAAAAGTCAGACTTCTCGAAACAGGAATATATGCATTATAAATTATAAATATTTTTATCATAGCAGAGTGACGCTTGATTGCCTGGATAAATCATATATGACAAGATAAGAATTATATAAAAGCGCGATAGAGCTCTACATGACATTACATTCCAATATTGTTCACGCTTGTAAACGGGATTCTAATAAAATTTGAACATACCAGGTGTAGAAGTATGAAACCGGAATTTTTTTATACAAATAAGACGTCTGTTGTTCGAAAGTGATAAATAATACTTTATTCAAAATAATTTCCACTGTTTTGAACACATTTTTCCCACCTCTCTGGCAGTTTATGAATGCCGTGCCAAAAAAACTTTTCATCTTTTGAAGCGAACCAGTTATCTAGCCATTTTTCCACATTTTCATACGAATCGAAGCGTTGGTTAGCGAGAGCGTGTCCTAGCGATGCGAACAGGTGATAATCGGACGGAGCCAAGTCTGGAGAATAAGCCGCATGCGGTAGTAATTCCCAACTGAACGACTCGATCGTTTCCTTGACCCGTTTTGCTGTATGTGATGGGGCATTATCATGGAGCAAAATGACATTGTGTTGCCTTTTTGCATATTCTGGTCGTTTTTTAGTCAATGTTCGATTTAAATCGATCATTTGTTGTTGGTAGCGATTAGTATTGACGGTTTGACCAGGTTTCAGCAGTTCATAGTTCATAGTTCATAGTTCATAGTTCTTCGTTCCTCACGTCAAAATCACCACTTTTGAATTTTTTAAACCACTCGAAACACTGAGATTTACCAAGAGCATATTCACCGTAAGCTTCGACAAGCATTCGATGTGATTCTGCAGCAGTTTTCTTTAAATGATAACAGAAAATCAATGCTGTCCGCAAATCATAGTTAGTAGGCTCGAAACGTGACATGTTTAAGGTTATACAAAAATATACTAGAGAATGAAAGTTGGGGTTATGTTTGTTGACAATATTCGTCAGCTGTTAGGAGAATATAATAGCGCGGCAGTAACGGTCTTACGGTCACTAAACTGAACGCTGGCACCATTTATAGGGGAATTCCGGTTTCATACTTCTACACCTGGTATATGGATTTGTTTGTAATTTTGTTGTATTTATCGTTGTGACTGTTAACACAGTGAAAAGTTATTAAATTATATCACTAAAATTTTCTTTTGTTTAGACATAATCATGGCTCAAAATAAAAAAGTCGACTTGAGCTCGATGGTGAATCATAAGTTTACTCAAGAAGTGCTGACAGATATTCTATGCAAGGTCTATGATGGGAAGAAAGTGCAACTGACAGATTGGAAGTTTGGTGATGGATTTACCAAAGGTGACAACTACTTGTCAACTGTCTACAAAGGTGTATTATATGGTATTACAGATGACAAGGCAAAACAAGAAATTCAAGTTAACTTTGTTGTAAAGTTCATTCCTCAGAATGTTGCTCGCAAGAAAACTTTTAGAAGTTCAGATTTTTTCTCTAATGAGATTATTTTTTATACACAGGCAAGGATATAACAAATTTATTTTACATTTATATATATATATATATATATATATCTTTCTGAAAAAGTTGACATTACTCTTGTATATAAACAAATTAAAGGAACATCTACATTGGAAGTAAATAGCAAGAAGTAGGAAGTAAGAGTAAGAAATTGACCAACCACAGTCGAATGTGAGAAGAATAATCAACTATGATTGATCAATTTCTTATTCTTACTTCCTACTTCTTACTGCTTACTTCCAATGTAGACGTCCCTTAACACATTTTTCAACAATTGTTATTTTGCAGGTGGTCCCTAAGTTTGAGAAGTTCTTGAAAGAAAAAGGACAGAGTAAGCTGTTACGTATACCACACTATCTAATCTCCTATATGGATGGTGAAAATGATTTTATAGTGCTAGAAGACCTCTCTCCCCTAGGATTTGGACCTGCATCGAGACAGAGCTGTATAGATTGGGCAGAATGCTTAGTAATATTGGAGGCATTGTCAAAATTTCATGCTATCTCATTTGCATACAAGGATCAAAACAAGGAGGAATTTACTGAAATGACTAAATGTTTGAAAGAGACTTATTTTGGCAAACATAATTGGAACTGGTATCGAAGATACCATGTATGTAGTGCTGTTTATATATAATAATGTATAATATTTATATAATTCTATAAAATAATTTAATTATTATTATAAATGAAGTCTTTCTCTCTCTTTCTCTCTTCTAGGAGAAACTATTAGAAATATCTCGACATGCATTAACTACCGAGTATCCTGATAGTAAAGCTGTGAAGCAATTCAATTCCTATAAATTTGGCGCACTTTATGAGAAGTGTTCAGAGTTAGTGTGTGAAAGAAAACATGCTCCTACGTCCATTATATGTGCGGGTGACTGTTGGGCTCCAAACTTTTTAATTCGAGATATTGGTCAAAATCGGAAGGAAGCTGTATTACTCGACTTTCAACTAGCACGGACCGCCAATCCTTCCACGGACTTATCATTCCTGATTTACTCATGCACCCACAAGCCATTTCGAGATCAATATTTTGACACCATCTTGAAAACTTATCATTCTTTATTGAGTGATGCTATTAAAACTCTTGGATCTGATCCAGAAAAGATTTATCCATGGGATTTGTTCATGAAAGAAGTAAATTTCATCTATTTTGTAATGTAAAAGTTTTCCTCTTTTTATATAAAGTAAAATTATTAATTTTGATATCAATTATAGGTGAAGGAGAATTTTATCTTAGGTGTTGTCTTCGCAATTGAAGCTATTCCATTTGCATTATTGGATCCATCTGAATTGTTCGATTTGGACGATCTCGTTAAAGGTGACGAAGCAATGGATATTGCCGATGTATGGGCCTCGCTCAAGATTGCAACATCTAGTGGAAGACGAAGATTAGCGGATATGCTAATTCATGCTGTTGAGCATGGATATCTATAACGAAAATTTTCATACAAATATCTTCACTGTTTGTGTACAGTTAATCTTAGTAGCACAAGCTCGTCAACCATGAAACCGTGATGTATTATAGAGAAAATTATATTTTTAGTAACAGAATCTCCGAGCAACTTACAAGAATTTTTTATAGAAAAGAAATTTATCTCAACAGCTATTGAAATACTATACATCTAGTTCTTAGCTCTCCACGAGAGGTCTCTGTAACCCCTCGCTCTTGCCAGCCTCTAAAATTATGTGTACACATATATTTAGAAGAAATGACATTTTATACATAATCTTTATTAAATGTGCTTGCATTAAATAAAATAAAGACAGTCTATATTTGTATAATTTCAATAACAACAACATAGATTCAATTATAATTCGTATAAGAGTAGAGATATAGCCATCCATATTTATACAGCCTACATATATAGCTTTTTACATCAGCCAGTAGATGATAAGACTCTGCGTTATCACATAGCTTTATTAATTGGGTGGAAATGTATATATATTGGTAGAAATATCTTGTATTTTTCTTTCTTTTTAGGAAAAGTACATCTATATTGCTGAAAAGCACAATATGTCAATGATAAATGCATCACAGATGCGTATCTGATGTTAACATCTCGCTGTACTAAGCAAATAGCTTGATTCGAGTAGAGACGCTGGAAAAATTTATTAAGTCTGTTTCGCGCGATTGTTAGTTTCTCGCTTATCTACTTCGAGAGAAATCACGATAGAGTTAATCGAGAATCTCTTGTTAAACCACACGATGTTGAGAGTAACTTTACACCGATAACATGTACAATATGTACCCTAACAGCACAGATGTTCAGGGGACATCCAGAATATATCCTGAGGAAGTCCTGAGGAAGTCCTGAGGACATTTCTTCGTTCTCAGGACGTCCTCAGGAGATTTTATGCTGTCTGGGTAATAGCACGAACGGTGCGCTCCGCTATAAAATAGCTCTATGTGTTCTGATGTTGAACGTTGTTTGTTAAAACGTTACTCGCGTCGAAAACGGTCGTGTCTTCGTCATCTTCTTCCTCCAACGGCAGTGGTCGCATCTCGACGTCCTGCCTGTGCGTAAGGACACCGTACTTTCGAACCATCTGGGCACGTGTCTTACTTAACCTGTCAGGGAGATGCAGAGACATTTGAGCCTTCAAAGCTACAGAAGAATGACCTGTTCTTTTTAGTTGAGCTGAATTTTTGTTCTTTCTTCTTATTAAGCTTATAATTTTGTGAAAAAATTAGTATCTAGTGCTTGAACTCTAAAATTTACTTATCTGGTATTTCTGCATCAAAAGAAGTTTCTTTCATCGAGAAGTAGCATATGAAATATAGCTAATTAAATGTTTATCATATATTGGAGAAAAACATTAGATTGTATATCTGTTTTATTCTAAAAGCAAGAAATGCAACACAGCTCAGCTAAAAGAAATAGATCCAAAATTTGTGCTACTGCTGTATATCATTATCACACTAAACATTAACACACCAAAACCCACCTAAAGCTACGGAACACGATATAGGCCATAACAAGGATGCTTAGTCCTACAAAGACTAAGAAACCACGCACAAGAGCACCGGTATTGAAGGTCGTGTGGCCCTCGTTGGAGTGCTATATCAAAGAATATCATCATAATTAATAACATTATCTACATTGTGAGAATATAAATGGAGAAGTTAATAAACAGAATGTCCAGATAATGATTACAAGGCCTGTTCTTTGTGCTGCTGCACTGTTGAACCGGTGCAACAAATTAAAGCGACACAAATATACATTTTCTCATTCTAACTTTTTGTTCAGTTCAGCAGTGCAGCTACAAAGAACAGGCCTATACTTCTCCCTGAATGGAGAAACGAGAAGGATGAAGAATTACACGTGCAATTCCCACATTTCCACATTGCGAACGATTCCACGATCGTCAATACGATAAAATTCATCATGCGACAACTCTTCATCTTTCTATATTCCACCCGGGAAAAGTTACACGATCGCTATTCTGACGTGCAATTAAAACTGTCTATGAAACAAACCTCGTCGGCTGCGTCTGCGACGTGTATGGTCTTGTTCACGGCGGCAGCAGCAGCGGCGGCGACGTCCGGTGCCGATGGCTTCGAGGTTATGTTGTGCGTCCTGTTGCTCGTGTCAGCCGCCGGCCTTGTCCTTAGGTTAACGGGCGCTCCGGCCGCGGCCTTCTTCCCCGGAACGTTCAGCGCCGTCACCGGCTGCTCGTCGACCTTACCGCTGGTGTCCTCGACTTTGCCCTTGCTCCCAACCGTCGGCGCGTCTCTCTTCTCCCGAAAGCTTCCTTCGCTGACCGCGGCTTGTGCCAGCAGGAAGATCAACAGGAACAGAAAAAACTTCATCTTCTGGATCTTCGAGCGCGTCATCGTGCCGTGTCATTTAAGCGATGATTCGGTGCGACGACGGCCTTACGCACACGGACACGTTACCTCCCGCTTGCTCTCTACGACGTGACAGTTCCGCCTTCTTCGCGCACCGACGCGAGCTCCATGTTGTCCCCCGAGCGGCGCGCTAAATGTAAACTAACGTCGTGTGTGTCGTCGGAATCGTGTCCTCTCTGCGTCCAAATTCACCGCAAAATCACCACATTCTGTTTTTTCCGCCGTGACGCAACAGCCTTCGGACAGTTTCGTGTTTACTCGCGCTGCCGTGCGCGCATGCGCCACACGTGTCGCGCTGTCACGCTCGTGTCAATGTCAGTCGTGACAGTCGCGAATTTGAAAAACAGTGAGACCGCGTGTACTCACTGAGCTCTATACATACTGAGGCGCGTTCGAAAACTCCACCCGGGTGCTTCTCCTCTCTCTTTATCTGACTCCTGTATCTTTCTCACTCCAACGCAGCGAGTACACTCGGATAGAGTTTTCGAACGCACGCCTGGAGTAAGCCATCATAGCTGCGTTCGGAAATGTCACTTGAATGCTCTCACTCTCTTTTTATCTCACTCTTGTATTTCGCTCATTCTAACGCAACGGGTACACTTGGGTAACGTTTTCGAACGCAGCCTATGGCGTTTGGTGGTGAGGTTATCTTTGTTTGAGGTTCGCTGATTGGTTAAGTATAAAGTGAGACAGCCTTACGACCAACCTATGTAGATCGTAGGCTCACGGCTCACTCCAGTATATATAGAGCTCATTGCGCGTACTAGTCAGTGAACGTTTTCTAACTCGAAGGATTCGTTCAGTCCTCACGGATTTACATTGAAGAGAAAGATCCATGATCGCCTCTCTGTTTTACGCAGCATACAAGTTCTTATTCTGAACTCCGTTTTATCGATAAAGGTGACTCTGTGCGAGGTCTATACCCATACAGCACAGAACGTTGAAAAAACCTTGATGAGACGTTGCAACATTGAAAATAGAAGTGTGGATGTTTTTTCTACATGGAATTTATGTTGATTTTTCAACATTGATTACAAGATATTGCTGCAATGTTGAATATATATTGAACAAAAAGTACAATTTTTTGCAACAATATTTGAGCAGCATTGAAAATTATATTATTGATAATATTAAGGAAAAATTTGTTATTATATAATAATAATAGTAAAATAAATTATTATTAAATTTTATTATATTAATGTATATGTATTATACATATTATATTACAATATACCATAATCATATATATGTTTCTTATTATTTATATGTAAAATTGAAATGTGTTTAAGCAATTTTGCGCAAACCCTGAATATTCTTTTATTTCATAATATTCTCTATTATATAAAAAACATTAAACTGGAAGGAACGGTCGAAATCAGTTTGCAAATAACTACATAAACTTTAATACTAAATAAAATAGATTAACTTTAATATTAAATAAAATAAATAGGCGAATCAAGTATACATTTTATAAGTGTAAATTGTAAAAACATCGTTGGAGTCATTGGAATCACCGCGTGCCGCTCGATCGTCAGGTTAAATTGAGGTAGTCAGAATGGATTTGGTGCCGGCATACTGCTTCGGATTTGAAATTATCGAGAGAGGATTCGCGAAAGTTTTAGAATGTTTTTGACAATTTTCGGTTTCTAGCAGTTATAAGACATGAATAGGAAAATAGAGAAAATAGAAATTAGTTTTTTTATTATAAAACAATAAGAATAAATAAGACGTTGAAATGTCAAAGAAAAATCAACAATCGCGGATATTTTTACATTATATCAAGGTTTGTGCAACGTTGATTCAATATTTCTCAATGTTGTTGCAATACTGACATTGTTATAATTCAACATTCTTTCAACATTAATTCAACATTACTGTGCTGTATGGAATATTAATAGTTATTACTTGAAATTTGCTTCAAGTGAGATTTAAATTTAGGGTTAGATGTGAGTTTTTCAATAAAATGAAAATTACAAATGATTACAAATGTAACGTTGCATATATCATATATGCCTGAAAAATTTAAATCTAACTCTCAGTTCAAATCTGAATAACTCACGTGAGACAAATTTCAAGTAACGACTATTAATACCGACTTAAATGTGCTTGTAAGCCAATTAGACTGGTAAGTCACATTTAGGGCCGCTTTTTCAATAATATTTTGAACTTAGATTTAACATTAAGTTCTATTCTAACAATGTGTTTGATATGTTTAACAGAGTTTAAATTTCAATCTACATAGGAAGAATTTTACAGTAAAAATTACTGCAGTATTTTATAATCGAGAAGTAGATCGATATTCCGCAATAATTTACTATCCTTTAATTTTTCAAACGTGTTCTCTCTCTCTCTCTCTCTCTCTCTCTCTCTCTCTCTCTGTTGTATGTGTTTTAGGAAATAAAATATACTGGGTGCTTCCGAGTTGGGTCGAGTTGAGTTAGTTCCACTATAGTATATGTAACGGATACTATAGTGGAACTAACTCAACTTGACCCAAACCTGGACATTTCGGAAGCACCCGCTATTAAAACATTCGCTATGTTTCGCTATTGTAAAATCTGCTGTACTATTTCTGGCGAAATTTACTATATTTTTTAGCAATTCATATAGCACACAATCGTTTAGAAACGATTATAAAATGTTACGTACGATTATAATCGACTATAAAGCGATAATAAAACATTATACACGTTTAGAAAACGTATGTGAAACCGATATGTGCTAATAGGGAAAAAATTGTTAAAACAAATATAGTAAAAACAGATCGAAGAGAATGTATATGAAAAAAAAGTTATATTTTCTTTCCGTGTGACTTTAAACTACTAGGAAAAAATTGGTCTTTAGAGGCACTGTTATCGATGAAAGAGAGTTCAGAATAAGGCCCGTATGTCACATTTACGCGTACATCATCTACGCGTGCGCTGCTCCAGGGTGACCGACGCGTTACTCCGATCCTGCTGACACATCGTGCATATATGCATGCTGCGATACACGAGAGTGACAGTGAGAGAGGAAGGTAGAGAGACAGAGAAAGAAAGTGTGTCTGTGTATGTGCGAGACAGGCGGACAGACAGACAGATAGCAGTCAGAGAGTGAGTTGCGTCGTGTGAGTCGCAGGTCGCGAGATCGGTCGTTCGTCCGTTCACTCGTACGATCGGTCGGTCGGTGAATTCATTATTAGCGTTGTGCTCCGTATATGCCCGTCTCATCTGCGGATGTAAACGGCGCGGCCGCGGCTGCGGCCGCGATCACCGCGCTCGGGGGCGAGTCGAACGACGGCCGCGACGGATCATCATCGCGACGGTTGCGGCGGCCGATCGCCTGGCTGAATATGATGCGCGCCTGCGATGGCGGTGCCAGCGACGTTCTGTTGGAGAAATTCCGCGGTGCCAACAGCACCGCGTCGGCCCCGACGACGGCAGTGACGACGACGGCGACGGCGGCTGCGGCGGTAGCGGAGGACGGGGACGCGGCACCAACCGAGCTGGCGACGTCGAAGTGCGAGGGGCAGCTATCTTCCTCCTCACTTAAGGCGAACAGCTGTTCGTCCTGCTGTTGTTGTTGCAAGCCAGCCGCCGCGAGTCGTACGACAGAAATGGCGCAAGAGGACCATTCCGGCGGCCCCTCCTGGGACAATCTGCCTAGTGTTATCCTGCAGGAGATATTCTCGTATTTGCCGCATAAGTCGCGAATAACAGCTTCCCAGGTATACATACATGCGTATAGATGGAGAAAGAGAGAGCGTTATTTATCTCGCATTCTGAGAGGATTTCTCTGAAACGCGTATAAGATGAAAAGAGCGACAGGGGCAGAAAGTATACGTATGGGTGCGCGCGCGCGCGCGTGATACGTGTTTGTCCTTATTTCTGCTTATTTTTGTTCATTCGTCTTTCGATATCGCGGTACAAACCGAGCTGACGCGCGATAAAGCTGTCATGTAGTCTCGCGTGTCTCGCGAGATACACGAGAAGACACTTGGCGTAAGGAGACAAAACGCGTTTAAGACAAAAACCCATCATCCCGCTCGTTCCCCGCGCCCGCGTCCAACCGTTATAAATCGCGCGGATACAAATCCGGTTACACGGACGTTATCAGCTGCGTGCAGCAGCTGTTGGCGACAGATGAACCTTTCACGCTGCGATTTCGACTGTCGAAAGGTTCCGCTCGACACTTTCCTACGGTCACGAGCGATTGCGCTCTTCAACATGTTCTGTTCTCATTAAGCGCACTTTCAGTATACTGAAAAAGATGGCGACATTCGTTTGGTAAACATGTTGGAAGAGCGCAAACAGCCAGGCTGTTGTTGAGCGAGAAATCTTGCGAATGATGGCGAAGTCGTGTGACGATAAGAGAATAAAGTCTTTTGACTGTTCTATACAAAATATTATTACGATCTAAATAAATATTATATACGATATTCAATGTCAATATCAGTGATTTAAATGTACAGATAACTTTTCTCCCAGAAGATGATAATCACTCATATCGATGTGACATATCAACTTGTTGATATTCTTACTTCAATATGAGATCTGCTCAGTGAGCTTGTTGTTGAACTTGCACAGGTATGCAGAAATTGGAGGTGTACTTTGTTCCACCCAAGCTTCTGGAGAAAAATCTCTTTTGTGTTCAAAGATGAGGACAGTGTTTCGTGGGTCAGGTATGTAAAGTCGAACTCATCTGCTCTGCCAGTTTCTAGTGTTATCATGAGTTGCACACGATGTATTTTATTGTAGATTCATGGCAGATTGTTTTGCTCTGAGTGTACACGAGGCCACAATTCGTTGGGATATATCCAGCAGAAGATATATTGACTGCATGAGTGAAACTTACAATCTTCTAAAGAAATTAAGTTACAACAGACAACTGAGAAAATTGTTTTTGGAATTCAGTAGTAACATTTATGACTACTCCTTTGACAACGAGGAACCTAGGTATTGTTTATAGTAGTAGTATTTATTACCATTCAGCTACAAAATAGCCAAGAAGGGGACTTGGTTTACATTGAATTCTATCTTATACTTATCCACTCATTTATCCATCCATTCTTCCATACATGAATATATTACTCTTATCTCTATTCTATCTCCTCGTCACCTATCACAGCCAAATTACATTTTCGCTTTTATGTTATTAATTATACCTCCTTTCCATTACAATTTGTGTGCTAATGCCTCTCTTAAATATATTCCCTTTATTTCTAACTTTCTTATTATTTATGCATACATTTTCGCAGTAATTTACCCTTTGCCTTATTCTCATCTATCCTTTTCTTTTTCTTTTATTTTCTTCTCCCTTACTTTCCATATTCTTCTTAAAACCTTACCTTTAATTTCATCTATTTCATCATTCCATATCCTTTCCTTTCCTCTGCCTTCCATCCTATCTATTTCCTCAAACCATCTCTTTCCCATCTCACATGTATACATATAATGTTTCATCTCATCCTGTTCCCTACCATACAATACACACATCCTCTCTTCCTCTCCTAACCAATACTTATTCTTCAACTCCAAATTACCACATCTTAGCTTAATAAACGCTCTCACCTCTTCTCCTCACCAAACTACTCTTTTCTAGGTACTTGTGTCCCTCTCCTACCTTCCTTATCTCTTTATATCTTTCGTTATATCTAGCCTCCATAATCTTATTTTCCATCCATTGTTTTTGTACTTCCCTTTCCCTTTTCGTTATTTCTCCTTCTATATCCCAGTTTTCTTTCTTTCCTTCTTTTACTCTCTCTAATCCCCAACCATTCCTATTATAATATTTTTCCCTTTCCCTCCCATACAAATCTTTCCATTCACCTTCCTCTTTCTCTCCCAAACATTTTCTTATTAAACTTTCTTCACTGCTGTTCCCAATCTTTTCCTCATATCTTTTCGCCCTTATGCCCCATCCTATTTTTAATTTCTCCATCCCTAGTATCTCCATCTTCATAATAACATACCTCGGTGTGCAAAAATCCAATCTAAACATCCATCTTATGTAGTCCATCATAACTTTTTCTAATTTTTCTTTTTCTTCCCATCCTCATATTTCCACTCCGTAAGCCATCACACTTTGTATCAGATATTTAAATAATGTCCATCTCCTTATAAAATCATCTCTACATATTGTTTCTCCTATACCTTATTCCCTATACCTTATTCAAAGCTACTCTACCTTTCTTATACAAATCATTTATATGTGCCTTATAATTCCCCACTTAAATGTAAATCCTAAATATTTGAAACAATAAATTAAGGACCATTAGAGTTAACGCACAGGTTGTATAGTGCTGTTATAAACTATTAACACATAGTGACACAATCTTGCAAAGAGAACAAATTTTATTAAAAATCAAACGCGTTTTGGTCTCATTTCGCAGACCCTCTTCAGTGAAAACAAGCAGTGGTATAGTGTCGCAAAAAATAAAAAATCGCAAAAGTCGGCGCTAACATTGGTTGTCACAAGATAGTCGCTACAAAATCTTTTGTCTACGGGACTCAGAGGCACAAACATAATATATTAATTACAACAATGAGTTGTTTCATTGTTCAGAAGCTGCCGGCAATTCATTCAGAGATTGGTCACTCCATCGCACGTACGATTGCTGCCATTCCCATCATTTCTTTGCTACATTGGCAAATCTGTTCAATTATAACGTTTAATTTCGCCCAGCAAATAGCATAGATTTC